ACCAAACTCAAATTCGCTACTATGTTTGAGTTTTATATCGATTGCAGTTCATTCTGGGAAATACATTTTCTCAAATTTGAGTAAAAACTCTAACTTAAGTCAAAACTCAGACTTAAGTTTGTTTCGAAAAATCGGGCCTGAAGAGCGTCCATCAGGAAATGGGGGCACGCCTTGGTGTAAAAAAAACGTAAGTATACACACTTTTTTAAATGCAAAATCTACTGATATTCTAATGTAGCTGCGGTTTTATTTTATTTGACCTTTTCACGCGTTGAAGTATATATATGAATCCGCTATTACCTGTCCACTAAGGCGTATATAGAACATCTAACTTGATAGCAACGTTAGTTTTCGTACAACATAAATTTCCTTTGAATTATACCGAGAACAAAAACTTAAACGACACTAGCACTACCAAAAAGGTGAAAAGCGGTGATTGGTGAACGTGGATTTTATACGTCATTGACAGAACTATGGCTACATTCCTTCGCTCCTATGAGATTGTTCTGTATTGATCCGATATCCTATAGGTGACTGACGGTGATAGTGTTTTTGGTGTTGTCATGGCTATAAAGACATACATTTCTCAATAATCAGTGTTATCGTAATGAAACTGCAGTAATTTTATTTTATTGCTTTTGTGTGCCGTAAATATTCATCTCTAAGCAATTATGTTGTTTTCTTTCACAAAGCTCTCTTCACTTTGTCCCTTCACCTCAAGCAGACATCTCATCCCACAATATTACACCCCACCCCTATAACCATATATCCCCCACCCCAACAAGACACATAACGCCTGGACATCCACACCCCTACTCGACACCATCTATTACCCGGAACGAATGTACGTGTGTGGAGGTAGTGTTACCGATAGTGGTTTGGCTCGACACCGTCTATTACCCGGAACGAATGTACGTGTGTGGAGGTAGTGTTACAGATAGTGGTTTGGCTCGACACCGTCTATTACCCGGAACGAATGTACGTGTGTGGAGGTAGTGTTACTGATAGCGGTTTGGCTCGACACCGTCTATTACCCGGAACGAATGTACGTGTGTGGAGGTAGTGTTACCCGGAGAGGGTACACCGTCTGGAACGAATGTACGTGTGTGGAGGTAGTGTTACTGATAGCGGTTTGGCTCGACACCGTCTATTACCCGGAACGAATGTACGTGTGTGGAGGTAGTGTTACCGATAGTGGTTTGGCTCGACACCGTCTATTACCCGGAACGAATGTACGTGTGTGGAGGTAGTGTTACACCGTCTAGATAGCGGTTTGGCTCGACACCGTCTATTACCCGGAACGAATATACGTGTAGTGTAGCGGTTTGGCTCGACACCGTCTATTACCCGAACGAATAGTGTGTGGAGGTAGTGTTACCGATAGTTTTGGCTCGACACCGTCTAATACAACGAATATACGTATTTGACTCGACACCGGAACGAATGTGTCTATTACCCGGAACGAATGTACGTGTGTGGAGGTAGTGTTACTGACAGCGGTTTGGCTCGACACCGTCTATTACCCGATAGTGTTACTGACAGCGGTTTGGCTGGACACCGTCTATTACCCGGAACGAATGTACGTGTGTGGAGGTAGTTGGTATACCGTCCCCGAGGTCGATAATACTGAATAAACGACATAGTGCTGTAACGCGTGTGTACGTGCTGCTCTCTTGGGAGCTCTCTTGTAAACAACCACGCACTGCTGTGATGGATATAGTTCATTTGTAGGTAGATAGATAGATACGTCTAGTCTCGTGTGAATTCATAATTTATTGTTCGCTACAGAGGCATATACAACGAAAACGATGAAACGTTCGTGACACGTGTGTTATAATTTCTTGCGATTGGTGAAAGTTGCTTATCTAGAATGCACTTCCAATGGATAGGTAGTCTGTAGGTTGTTTGTCAACAACGTTCTATGGGTTGTTTCTTGGCGCTCTCCATATGTTCCACTGTATAAAAAAATGGAAGGAAATGAGATCGAATGCCGTCTTACCTTACATTAATTGTGGGGTTGAGGGGAAGGTTAGATGCAGCGGGCGACTGTCCTGGGTTTCTTCGATATAACGCGGTATACATGGTGTACTCTATATCGCTATGTGTTCACATTGTGTCGCCATCACATCCATCCACTTCTGCGTGGAGTGACCAATATCCCAAGTTAGATCGCACAGGCTTAAACAAGTAAATATAGTCAGTCTGTGGGTCGTCTATCCATTACCTGAAATTTGATAGGATACCAGTACAGTCACCACAAAGGGTTTCCACTTCACACGAGGAAGATTTCTGTCAAGCATCATTGACTTGCGGTCCACGCATGCGTTGTAACAAACCCCGAGAGTACTGAAGTAGCAGATAGTTGAGCTAGAGCCATGTCCCTGTTCTATGTTGTCGCTGCTATGGTGTTGGTTACAGATTTGGTATGTATTGAGTATAGAAGAGAAACGTTTTATCAGAAGAAAAGAAGAAAAGCGCACTCCTTCTCATTTCATTTTTGATACATATTAACAAGTGTAATGCATTGAGGATTTAGTGTGGGTTTTAGCCTTTACTACAATATCATATGTTTGTCTAAGTACAGGGCGTGAGAAGACACATATCTAGCCAGTCTGGCGCATTTGTCTGGAGACTCACGCTGTTATTACTCATGTCAGCTCTAAAGATAAAACTCATACTTCTGACGCCATACCGGACTCATATGAGAAAATGCTGATGTTGTGAATTATTTTTGTAAGAAAATGAAACAAATTTTATGTGCAGTTATGTGCAGTTAAAATCACGCAAATATGTCTCAAACATCGTTTTCAGTGATTTGTCTGGAAGTTGCAATTATATGTTTGCTGAAGCCCCTCCGAGGTTCCTCATTGGACCTGAAATCCCGGCATCTCAAGCTTTATTCTCCCTTGGGGTTTGAAACTCTGAAGACGAATAGTTCACTCGTCACAGGTTCGACACAGGTTCGATTCCGCACATAAATAGAACGCGAGAAGCTCCTTTCTCCTTTATCCCACCGCAATGTTTCTTGATTATCAATAAAAAGCGACAAAAACGTTACCCACTCACTCACTCATCAAAAACTCAATAAAGGGTCAATCTCTCTATCAAGTACTTCTTCCTAGTAGTACAGCTCTCGTTCACGACAAATAAGAACGCGTTTACGGTTATACCATTCGCTGATTGCGTGGAAAAATCCTGTCGGTTTTATAGATATACGTCAACACACGTGCGTTTTGCAATGTTCTGGCAATATGTAACTGGCGCCACCAGAAATGACACACTGTACCTGGGTTAGGAATCGAACTCAGAAGAGGCAGGCAGGCAAACACATTAATCTATTTTTGCGTTATGGCTGAAGCTGTGTTTGCATCAATAACTATTTATCAGTTATGACTATCTCACGATATACTTCATTCCCGAATCAGCAAACAAAACCCAGAGCAGCTTCCGTCCAAACTCGTTGGTCACACCGATGAAGTAATTAAGCAAAAAAAGAGCCTCTCTACTGTGACAGAACTGTGGACGGTCTGACAATTATTTATTGTACAATTATCACTGATATGAAATATGTCTTGTTCTCGCATGTCTAGCTATTTCAAATTACAAAAGATTTTGTAAAAACACAACAAATCCTTTTAAATGATCATAGCAGCTTTCTGCTCATGGGGATTTGGCTATGAAATGTAGTGTACACAAAGTCTTACATAACAGTCACAACCCTGTTGGGTAAATATAACACACATCATTGCGTTCATATGTATGGATATATTTCTGCAGTAAAGGTGTTTGTAAAGAAACATGTATCACAGTCTTTCTTGTTGAGCAATATGGAATATGAAACTGAAAACAAACACATCTCAAATCCTTCACCTTGGTAATGTGGCCACATATAGCATATAATTATTTTCAGGAAATGGTATACAAACAGTGCATCATATGTCTGATTATTTGTCATTTTAACGTTCATATACAATATACAATACACAATCATATGTAACTATTAGTGACCTGTTATAGTCCAATACATTACTTTTAGAGAACAGTATACCAATTGCACCATACACTAATCATGATGAAAAGGTATTGCTATTTTCTCTGTACATCATGTAGATTCTCACATTCACGAATATTAACCTAGTTTCATTCATTTTAAAGGTATCTTAATACGAATATAGAAATGACTCCCAGGAACTGATAATAGAAACATCCATGTTCTAGTTTCTAATATTGCAGTACCGACATGTACACTGTGACTGTTTCAGATTGCCAGAGTTTGTCTGACGTTTGAATCAGACATTTACGTTGAGCTTTTCTGTCCAATATGGACTAATCAGCCTTCAGAGTCAGTCCAAGAAGAGACGGAGGACATATAGCTCGAGTCATCACTTTCATAATTGACGTCATCGTCCACCTCATCGATGTCTTTGTCAAGGTCATCCGGATCTTCAGCCTCATCCGTGTCCATTACCAGTTGTAGTTTTAGTTGAACCGCTGAGTATATTTAATCACATGTTAACACAATATTTATGGCATTGAAAATATGGTATTTGACAAATGCTGATTGGTTTGAAATTCAGACAGTGCTTAAGAAATGTGTTTATATATTTTAGATACATGAAGCTGCTTAAATTATTCATCTTCAAAACTACTTATGAAACAAATAATAAGACTGTTGTAGTACAATCGATGTAATCCACCATGCAAATAGGATTGTTATGTTCATTGAGCATGACATTAATATATAGTTAAGTAGACACACACACACACACACATACATACATACATCATACATTCATCCATCCATCCATCCAGACAGAAAGATAGATAGATGGATAGAAAAAAATAAAGTCAGACAGACAGACAGATACATAGATCAAAGGGATGATGGCAACTGCAGTTTCTTTTAAAGATAAAGTCGTGTGACACACTTACTGTCAGGTCCATAGATGTCAGGGAAACTGGACAAAGGCTTGAATGCTTCCCTGTTTGGGTCATCTGCAAGATCCTCCCGCCAGACTCCACGACACTGGCTTCCTGAACTCTCGAAAGTAACATACCACATGGTAGCCATCTTCGGTGAGCGATAAATCTCGTGTCTGTAAGGAATGACATAAGGTCACATTTCTACCTTAATGTATAAACTGTAATGACACCACGTTGTCTTGAGAACTCGCATGTACAATTTCTCAAAAATGAACTTTAAATGAGCACTAGATCCGATGAATAAAGAAAATTTGTAAAATAAACCTTTCAAAGGATTTATGAGAGAGAGTCTCAAAACATAATTATTTAAACACGTATGATCATGCGGTATTTCAATGTCCAGACATTTTAAACCAGATATTTTGAATAACAAGAGTGATTATGCACACAACACAGGTTGATAGACTAACATCATAATCGGGTGAAAAGGTGGCTGTGGTTTCAAATGTTGACCTGTCAATCAACTTGATCACATTGTCTTCACTGTAGGTTCCATGTGACATCAAGTAAGGTCCAGCCTTGACAACTGAAAGGTCAGCACTGATGTGTCCTTCAATTCTCCTTTTCACCTCTCCTTGTAAAGTTACAAAGAAACACCTTTACATTTTTACCATACTCGAGGATGGTATTCACTCCTCCGAGTTCAATATCCAATTGTATTTTCATGCATGCTTTATTTTTGTACAGATTATATCAAATGATGTAATAATGTCTCCTCCATAATGCAGGGATAAACTTAACGAGCATTGTAAATGAAACAAGATGAAATGTATGTGATTCTAATTTGATAATCATTCAATTAATGATCATATTCCAATTTCTACAGTTGCCTTAAGATTTAAGACGAGTATATGGATGGCAACTTCTTCTTTATTGCATAACACGACGTTTCTGGGATACTTATATAACAAATCGTCTTGTCATCCATATACTCGTCTTATTTATTCACGAACTTCTAAATGGCTCTCAAGAATGCCTAAATACCTCCCATGTAGGAACCTATGCAGACAGAAAGCAGACTGTCACCTCTTGGCACCTTCATTGTCTTTACCACGATGTAGAGGATGGATGTTGATTTACTTTGTGTAATGCCGATGATGGAAACAAGTATTCATGATTTATCTACCTGTATTTAAATCGAACACTCGAATGAAGGCGTCTTCATGATTGGAGATGATTGTGCTGTTGTCAAGCAGCTTGAAATTGTCTATCCCGATATCCTCGGTGCTATCCTCCTTCTCGTACTTATAGTAGTATTCATAATCAAACAATTCCTTGTGATGGCAGTCTGAAAATAACCCACACACTTATATATAGAGTGGAGATATTAACAAGAGACGTTTTGAGGTTGATGTGAAGGTAACTTTCAAGACAGATAGACAGGTTTTATTTGAATACATTTAGCAAATAAATATCTCATACATGAGACACCTAGACACTTTAGTTTGTTAACAACAGGTGTATTAGAAACTGTGTAGCTTTCGTTGTAACATTTGATAACTGACAATCTTTATGAACAATAAAGTGCATGGTCATTCACATGACAGCACCATCCTCAATATTAGCAACACTTTTACGGATAATATTATTACAAAGAGTGGTTTGTTCACATAAATCTCCATTGTTCACAAAGTTCAATATTTGATCACATTTTTCATAAACAACATACAATTGATGCATTATATTGAATGAGAAAGTCTATTACGCCAATTTTAAACTATCAGTCTTCGGTCAACATGTGTACAAATATTTATGAGTTACCAACGCTTTCGGCAATCCATACATGGTCAGATCTACTTCCCAACATTTAATTAATTTTTATTGATAAAGAAATCCCTGCCATATTTTGAAGCAACCACTGAATGTTTCTTTTGTATCCTTCCCAAGAACAAAATATGTGCGTCTGTATATTTGCATTTTGCCAGACATTTTCCCGAACCTTCCCAACGACCAGGTCTTCAATGGCCGTGTAAATAACAAGGGGCGATAACTCAATATATAATAAGATATCATTCAGGAAATGATACTTATTTTGGTGTGAAGCCCATTTCTTGTGTCCCCCGCCGTGATATTGCTTGAATATTGCTAAAAGCGGCGTAAAACTAAACTCACTCACTATTTTGGGGTGACGTTGTACGTACACAGAATGTCCCAGCATATTGGTATATAGTATTTGCGATTTCCTTCTGGCGCCTGTTGGGGACGTGTGTGTGTTTGGCATACGATGTAGGCGTCGTCATTGGTGATAGCAGTGTCGAGGATGTGAATGTCATCACTTTTGATCAGTTCAGGGTTGATTTCATACAAAAATGTCCTTGCCAGAACGTCGAACACGTAACAAGGGCCGTCATCAGATGTCGCCAGCAGGACCGTACCCTTGTCACTAGCCTGAAACAGATACCTCGTGACATACATGTAAATCAAAACAAAATGACTATACTCCACTATACAGACATATTGTCTACATTAGAAAACTGAACAGATACAAAGGCAGACGGTATCAGATGACACTCCTTAGTAGACTTGAGGCACTTGTCCCCTAGTTTCTAGGTTAGTATAATTTCCCCTGCTTTCAGTAGAAATTCATTATGAATAGAGCTCGGTACCTTTCGTCATTATTAATACAACTTCATTCAACAAAAAGATATCGTTGTCCATTTTGTAAACATAATATGTAATATATATCTAAACAGACGTTTTATGCTGTTGTCTGTAATAGAATAGCTTTCCCTCCACATAGGCATGCTGAATCTAAAGAATAGTCCTTTGAAATTGCCACCGTGAGGGAACTTCTGAAATTATTGAACCCAGCAATGCTTATGTACTTGTGACAATGGTCACTGGAACAAAACATTCACTGACTCAAAAGTATTGGCCAAATGTAACCTACCCTCAGATCATCAAATTTCTTTGAATTATTTGCTTCCATAATGGCCAGTGTCTTTCCAGTTGCGAGATCATATAACTTGATTCCCTTGCGTCCTCTGGTGAAACATGCCACTTCTAGTGAATGAATAAAGAAATTAGAATCAGCAAATCAAGAAAAGCAAGATGTATAGATGCCAATGTCTTTATAGCGAATAACACGACGTTTAAGACTGTATGCTTGCTCCTTTCTCAGGTTGATGAAGGAGCAAGCATACACTCTTAAACGTCATGTTATTCACAATTTAGAAGTTGATATCCACATTCTTATGCAATCTACTTCTAAATACCCTTCAAAGATTGAATTAGCAAATCATTTTGAAGACTAACACAGAGCAAGACTGAAGAAAAATATGGAGAATTCGTCCAAAGGCTGACAAATGAAAGCTGTAGCCGGGAACAGAAGAAAACAATTATCAACTTAAAAAACAAATTATATATAAAAATAGGAATCAGGCTTCATCTCACGCACTAATGGTATTCTCTATGACGGTCTCTTTTAACGTTGTAAAATGCTTTATGTTAATTTCTGAAGTAACTGAGCTCAGGATAATTGATATGGTTTTTTTTATGCTAACGATGATATTTTTCAATGTTTTCAATCACTGAATATTACAAACAATAACTTGACGTAGTACATTTAACACTTGGTGGCCAGGTCGTTAGGAAGTTGCAAGTCGATGTACAGAGCTGCTCCCCTTGATACGCCTGGAACCTACTTCACTTCGAGCTTTCACACGCTTTAACATCACCACGTAAATAACTGTTGAAAATAGCGTTAAAACAAACTAACTCGCATTCAAACTGCAGTTCATCTCTTGTGGAAAGTATCAAGAAAAAATCTATCATTAAAGATCTTATATTGTAAGGCATTATCTAAATTTGTTCAGATAATATTTTTTTTAAATCATTTTTCCATATATTGAAACAAACCTTTCTTTTCAGCTACAAGTGTGGACTCATAACTGCGTTCTGACAGTTTCCCTTCGAACGTCCTCAGGATAGTTCCAGTTGATAGGTCTATAACCTTCAATTTTCTTTTAATTCGTAATAGGACTTGTATGCTGTCTTCAAGTGGGATAATTGTTGAAGGCGCGAGATCCTGAAAATCCAGTAAATCTGAATTTCTTATTATATACAAACTTTCGTAAACAACATGCAAAATGTCATTTGAAATGTGATACAATAACAACGCCGATTGTGACATTCTTTTAAAGAATTCCTTTCGTTTTTTAAATTCTTTTATCTAAACGTAAAAACGTCACAAAACGAATTTAATGTTCATTGTTGTACTCACCACTTTGATGTGCCTAACTACCTTCTTCAGTGGCAGATCGTAAACCTGAAGGTATCTCATCGGTGATCGACTAACTTTCAGCAACACATATCGTGGGTTTGACAGGGTCATGAGCTGCCTGCAAGATACACCAAATCTGAACTAGTTTTGGACTTTTACACTTTAAGTTATACTATATATTTCTTGTTAGAATATATTAGTTCACGTTGGTCCAATGTGTAAGGGTCGACTCTTCGCCTTGTCCGCAGATTACAAGGCCGTACGTGCTAGTCTATGAACGAGGTAAATATATCTATTTCATGAACATACTTGATTTCAATGGGTTTTGCTTTCCTTTCCTCTGTATCAATGTGCGCTGCAACAATTTCGTCATTGCTCACAAGGCACTCTGAGTCTACAACGTCTTCCTCGTCACTGTGAGACTTTGCCTCCCTCGTCAAATCCCATATTCGAACCACCTTGTCATCGCTGAAGGACACAGCTGTTGTTAGGTCCTTCATTACCACATCAGTAATGCCTGGTAAAGATTAAATTATTATTCTTTCATGGTTTTGAAAATGTTTCCTTTTATTTAATTTATAACCCTATAAGTGAGTGATGAATTCAAATGATATACAGAACTTTCAAGTGATGAAATGGTCAAGATCAAGAAACTACTTTGTACCATTTAAACGTTTTGTTCTTTGTTCTAACGAGACATACGCTTTGATTTTGTAAAAGGCAAACATGAAAAGACCCGTTTGTTCTATTGTGAAGTTATTCTTGCATTGGAAACACCTCACAATGTAAATTGTTTTCTCTCCCATACCAAACCACATTGTGATGGTTCTGATCCTCGAGCTCATTAAAACATTTCTCAACATGTACGGAAACATACTTAGTCCTTGTTGAAGAGCTGTTGATCTTGTTCCAGTTTGTAAATCCCATAAAACAACATGGTCTATGTTGGGGAAGTACAGGATTTTCTCATCTTTTGTAATCTTGAAATTCTCAGACGAGTCATTGTCATTGCCTATGAGAATACAAAGGCAATTAAAATCGAACACATGCTAAGATATGTAGACGTACGAACGTAATTTCCTTTGGTACACATAAATTCCTGTAATTATGAACAGTTTTGACTTGTTTATGTGAGGACTGATTTGTCCCCATGGTAACATTTATGGACGAATGAATTCGTTTCTTGCCGCTTGGACAATGTATAATTGGAATGGTCATCCTGGAGTGGGTTGGGTGAGTGAGTGAGTGAGAGAGAGAATGAATGAGTGTGTGAGTGAGTGTAGGAGTGAAGGAGTGAAGGAATGAGGAATGAGTGAATGATTGAGGGATTAAAGGATTGAAGAAGTGAACGAGTTACAGCACAGTTAGCAATGACAGCTTTCTTGAATATGACATTTTGCGACCAAGGCTCATCTTGATCAAAGATAGATCAAAACACACTCCACATACCTGGATATACGCTTTCCTGCTCCATTGTGTGTGTATTGTATACATAAAGGTCGTTTTTATTCATCTCGGACAGGTAGAGTCGGTGACCGCTGAGGGAAAGGGCAAGAGCGTCAATTATGCACTGGTCTTCATCACCATCTTCAGTTTTGAACTTCTCGAAGATCTTTTTCCTTTGAATGAATTGAGATGTCTCTAGATCAAGGATAAATATCCAGTGTTCGTCCATATCAGTCACTGCTATGTATCGCTCGCTTCCTGGGTGAAAATAAAGAACACTTTCTCAAAGATTTCTCACTCCGATTCGACGCTGTAATTATGAATATCGTCATTTTTGTCCTAAAGAGCGACAGTTTCTCTGCTTGTATCATCTAGCAATATCTTCGGCAATATTCTAAGTATCGCGTATCTCACCATTGTTGCATTACAAATCAGTTATGTATATTCAGTAAGGGGGCCACCGGTCCTTTATACACATACATGTCAGAAGGATTCAATATATGACATGAAGCGCCATAAAAGTGACGGAATGGTAATAGAGGCATAATTGTAAAGACTGACTGACTGAGTTTGGGTTTACGCCGCTTTTAGCAATATTCCAGCAACATCACGGCGGGGAACAGCAGAAATGGGCTTCACACATTGTGCCCATATGGGGATTCGAACCCGGGTCTTCGGCGTGACGAGCCAACGCTTTAACCATTAGGCTACCCCACCGCCCCTATAATTGTAAAGAGATGTGAACACAAGATCATAATATTTCATAGTTTTTTCACAGCTAAAAATATATATTTAGCAAGGTTGTTTATAACATTATTACTTTGATAATTAAACAGTAGGGCTAGCTTGTTTTCAGAAGGGTATACATGATAAAAACGTGGTATGAGAGATGCTCTCATATCGTGATGGAATGGACATTCAAGGCAAAAAAGGCATTCAGATTCGATCATAGGAATAACACACAAGGGACACAAACGTTCGTTGCGTGCAAGATTTAAACGTCTTCCATATTCAATCATTAACATATGATTTGAACAGCGAAATCTACAGAGGGCAATACAATATACCTTCACATTTACAGCACTAATGTAATATTCTTCTGGCACAGTCATTTTTATCCGTCTGAAAATATCTTGTTTAGTATATTTTTCAAGATCTGAAGCCCACGTTTGAAGATCAATATCAATACACCTCTGCTCAAATTGTATAAGGAAATTGTATACATTTGTAATTTGTTGAACAACCCAAACATTTCCAAAACCATAGCTGAAGAGAAGTTTCTTAACTCTCAACGCGCAACAGTCAAGATTCTTTTCAGCTAAACGATACTGATATTTATATACTTTATACAAAATAACATTCTTATCTTGACTTATTAACCTGGTCCAGAAATTCAAAATTTTGTAGTAAGTATTAACCTTCAAAGAATAGCGACCTATTTCACCACGTGCAATGATGTTCGGAGTAGAAATAGATAGGTGCAGTATTTGCTTACAGAACTTGTCATTAATATTCTGTATATTTGGTGAAGGATGAAAACCCCAAATTTCAGAACCATACATCAAGACTGGAAGAATTTTAACATCAAATATATGTAATAAGACTTTCAACGGTAAATTTGTGACGCTTTTCATAGAAGATCTGACAATAGACAGTACTTTCCAGGCTTGTTCTGCTAAGGGTTATTTAGTTTGATACCAATTTCCAGAGAAAAGAGAAATGAAGGCCGAGATATTTATATGATGAAACTATCTCTAAAGGGGTTCCGTTTAAAAGGAATTTTTCATATTTCCTAAGTCTACCTGCTTTTCTGAAAACAATAATTTTAGTCTTATCAATGTTTAGTCTCAGTTTCCATTTATTGCAATAAGTACTTAATTTAACAATTCTCCTGTGCAGCCCTAGAAATGTGCCATCAAATAGAACAGTGTCATCAGCGAAGAGCAGAATGAACAGTTCAACAAAATCTAAATCGATACACCTCTGATTATCAGCAGACAAACATTCAACTAGATCTTTGATAAAAAAGGAGAACAAAAAATGGAGATAGTTGACATCCTTGGTGTACTCCATACATGCATTCAAAAAAAGAGGTGTAGCCTGTTTTCAGAGAGACACATGACTTTACATTTTGGTACATACTTTTAAGCTTTCCTTTCACATTTCCAAGCCACAGCTTGTAAAGTAAACTATTTCTGTCAACAAAATCGACAAAAGTGCAGTACAGCCATCCCTTATATAATGATAAGTATTTATTAACGACTGTATGAAGAATACAAATATTATCAGCTGTTTGGAAACCATGTCTAAGGCCTGCTTTCTCTGGGGTGAAAAGTTCTTCTTGCTGAGCCCATGCATACAACCTGCTATTCACGACTTTAGCAAATATCTTTCCTGAAATTTCCAAAAGTGTAATCGGTCTATAGTTAGAAGGTATATCTACACTGCCCTTTTTGTGAAGAGGAATAATAACACCTAGGGTCCAGGCTGACGGGTATAGCCCTGAACATAGTATGGCATTGAACAAAAACTGCAACATTTGGAGGCAACTGATTGGAGCATTTTTTAAGAACTCTATGCTTATCCCACTTAAACCCGGTGCTTTACCGGACTGCATACACTCTACAGCGTCAACAACTTCCTGCATGGATATTTCCCTATGAAGGTATTCCTGGTCTACAGTAGGGGTAATGAGATCAACATCGATAGAATCTACAAACGTTCCACTTCATCAGCAATATCAAAACTGTTAAACAGTTCAAAGGCATTGTCTGTACAAAGAACATAATCTACAGTACTTTGTCCACTATTTGCAAGGCACGTAATTTTGCCAATACCCTTATCGTTGAACAAACGACCATTACAAATTAAAGGTCCTGTAGTTTTACAAAAGTCAACAGCTGATATCCACGTTTGTTGATTAAACAGTCCTGGGATACGCATGGCTCAATCCCGTCATCAGATTGGTAACTTATGTCCTCATCAATTGGTAGACAGGTGAGGTCATCGTTAATTATAATATCGGAATACACATCACCTCCAGTTCGTCCATTAAAGTCTCCTTGGAGAATAATTTGACAGTCAGAATCCTTTGATCGAAGACTTGTAATATTATCTTCCAAAATAGTAAATATGTGTTCATTAGCATAATCAGTGGAGTGAAAATATACAACACCATAATATAAAACATGCAATGAACATTCGCTGTGTATCTTTAACCACATTATAACTGTACAACAAATGTGTTTTGTGTGTTACTGTTGTGACCGCTCGCATGGCGAGCACCTGCGAGAGGTCTTAAATGCATAGCTTAAGATACCTACCAGCACACAGAGATTTAGTTGTCAGTTCCTGACCATCTTCAAGCAGCGTACACACAACAGTTTGTTGTAGAGTCCCTGTGTCAGCTGCATAAAGTGACACTGACTTTGCGTGAAAGATTCCAATGGTAGTGTTGCCCTTTCCTCCAACACAGAAGAGAACTCTTCCATTTTCTGTGTGGATATTGTACAGTAGGGTGCCTGTTTTAAAGTCATAACCAAGTATGTGTTTTTCTGGATGAACAATTATTACAGAGTCATCACAGCATAGTAGAACCTGCTCTGGGTCTTCCCCGACGTCATCCATTGACCGAACCATTTTTCCACTGCCAATATCCCAAATTTTCACAGACTTGTCAAACGCACCTGCGAACATAAGTAAAGCTGACCATAAGAAGGCTGAAGATGTTAACAGTATAACATTCACCGTTTATACATCCAAAGGATGTTATGGCACTTAATGGTATGACACTAATTAAAACCAGGACTTACATGTCACAATAAAATTGGAGTCATTAGTCATATCAGTTCCATTCAGTTCTTTTTTGTGTCCGGCAAGGCAGTTCACAAGCTGTCCACCGGGTTCGGTTAAGACTGATCTGTCAGGCTGAAGAAAGTACTTTGGTGCCGTCTTACAACCAGCTCGAAGATTCTCCAGGCCATCCCATACTTTGATCCTGCCCAGCAGCTGAGATGGAAGCTCGTTGGGATAGGATACCAGAGCATCTTGGGACAACTGAAGACTCTCTCCAACAGTCTTTAGAGCTTGGTCATCTGGGTACACATTTCTGGCAGCAATAAAGTCCTCTAGGATAGGCCTGGATTCAATACATGCAAAACAGGATTTATAAATAACACTCATATTGTTATATACATGTTAAATGCTGGTGAATACATGTTTTCAAGGTCTGAGAGTCCTCTAAGAGAGGCCTGGATTCATGGAGATATGATGGACGGATTTAATAGGAATACTGACATCCTAAAATTATTCCTATGTGTTTAGTCTAAGTCTTAGAGTGATTAGTTACCAAGCTTGGGATCCCAGGTGTAACTCCCCACAATACTTGTTTGTACCTTACAAAGAGCGTGAAATTCTAAATATGACATATGCTATATCAGCACATGCAAAACAAACCATAAAAGTACCCAACTGCACCTTTGAGTGTCGTTTGGCTTACCTTAAACCTGATGCATGTAGTTTTGACAGAAGGAAAGCAAAGTTCATCAAACACTCCTCCTTCAGCAGACCTAACTGCTTTGCCTCTGTCCGCTGATGAGGAAGGTTGTTCAGTTTCCTTAAGTTATAACCTGTCTTGAATTTGTCAGGCTGTGATGCAGGCTTACGGTCAGCAGTTTCTGTGTTGCCCTTCTTGTCTACGTATGATTTAGGTTTACCTGAATTTCAACATGAAAATTATAAATATATAACGTCAACGCCGGATAATAATAAGTCCGAAATGTCCGCCGAAACAGATCCCATTGGGAGTACAAGGCTAAATGTTGGTGACAGTTACACGAATGAAAAAACAAACAATCAGTGGTGCTGCTTCCCTTGTATCCTGTAACTGACCGTTTGCCCAGGTTCCCGCGAAAAAATCAGCCAGCGCTCCATGTATTAGTTGGTTGAATTGAGGATCAGAGCAATATTTGTCTGTAGCAGCCTCAATGAACTGTCTGTGGTACCAGAAGAAGACCCTCACTCCATCAGCTCCTCTGTCCACCAAATACTGACCAAGGTCTGCCTTCAGCCTGACCAGGAGAAGAGGCGGAAGTCGCCTGACAGGGGGAGTCCAATACATGTACACGTCATTGAGGACATCATCGTCACATGACAGGATGTCCTCCAGCTCACTCTCCGTCAGGCCTGTTTTACCTGAAGAAGAAATAACTCATGTAGTCATCTGAGTTCAAAACGAAATTTATTATATGTAAAATAATAGTGCACAGTTACAAAAGTTGTTTTCAAAAGGCTACCACATAAACAATTGTCAAATGATGCATATATATATGTTTCAAATACGACCAACATTATTGTCTTTTATTACCTACGAGGGCGAACATATCGGGGTTCATATTTTTCACACGATGCCCTAGGGCAAAATTTCACTTTGTCATGGTGACGTGACGTCATGAACAAGGCTATGACGTCACGTTTCTCCTTTTTTTGGTGTGACGTTGCATTCTACATGCGGCGATGGCGGGTAGCCAGTCTATGTTTTTATTTTCCTCAATTTGACGACTACGGTAATAAACAGAATATTATATTCGTGCCCATATCATACTATGTTTACGACACTCGTGCCTAAATATCGGTATTTGTGTGGAATCAAAAAGCTCAGTACACAGCTCACATTTCAAGATTCTGAATCAGTTGGGATAACACTAAGTCAGTATACCAAAGAGATACCTCGATCACACAACACAGTCTACTTTATGCAACATTTGCTGTATTTAGGAATACACTTTCCCAGTCAAGTACAAAGACCTTTAGTGGATGAGCCCTATTCGAACCTCCAATCTTAGAGTAAATCGCCAAGACTTACTTAATGTCAGATACGCTAAAGCTCTTGACACAAAGATTTTTCCATGAAGTGCTTCAATCCTTGAAAACAGGGCGTTGATACTTCCACGAATGGATGTTTGGAGAGTTGTCTCTGACTGGGATGCAAAGGATGACCATCGACATGCCTCATCAAAAGACAGTTTCAGGAACAATGGGAGTGGACACTTCTGGAAGGCCTCAAGGACAGTTTGCCTCTGTTGTTGCATCAGATCACGACGACTTGCATTCAACCATTTGGTAAGAATGCCCTCAACGTCTTTGTCTGCGAGCTTTGGCACTTTAAGGAAATTGCCCCTTTCAGAATACATTTCCTGAAAAAGAATATGTAGAATGCAACATGTAAAATGCATGTAAATATCTTAAATTAGGTGTTTATTGTTGATTGTGACTCAAGAACTGAGGCAGTGACTGTCTAAGTTGCTTCCATTTACCTGTAATCGAGGAAAAGTCTCATACTGAGGTTCTGGTAACGTTGACAAGATCATCTTTACATTGTCAGGGAGTTGTTTCGGTAGCCAGAAGAGTTGGCGAGCGCCCCCCGATGGGTCAAACTGATCAAGTGAGTCCAGCAGGAGTACCAAAGGCTCATCACTAGTGGCCAAATTCAGACACTCGTGGAATATTTTGGTCAGTTCCTTCGTATCCTTGAACGGAAGAGAACAACACGTCGAGGTTGAAGTTTAATACATTGCACTGTGTCTTTCAACATTTGATGCACATACATAGAGTATTGTCATGTACCACACGTACAATGAATTTATATGGTACTTATTTCAATTTCAGAAATATTTCAACAATGATACTTTGGAAAGTATGGCTTTACTTTGAATCATATTTGCCCATAATATTACACTTTACACAAGAGAACTTTATCGACCAGACTTCATGGCGAGACACATCTTGTATTCTATTTTCCCCAGCAACCCTGACGAGCCATACATTGACCAGCTTGACTCAAGGTTTTAAAGAGACACATATTTACCAGAAAGACTATACTGTGAAGAATAGATCTCTACCCCAATTGTCTACGTTGTTAAGAAGATACTGTGCCAACAATACCAAACTTTGAAGAAGAAAGAATCTAATGATGAAGAGACAAACATCTTTCAATTACGCTACTCAGTGGAGCGGAGACAAACACTAACCAGAAGACTACCTTATGAAGCAGAAGGTACGTGTTTTGCAAGCTGATGCAAGATAACTGTAAAAACATCTATGAATGGGCCACTTAGAATCAGCACTGACACCAACATAGACACAGCTCTTCCCATAATACTAACCTTTAAAGGAGAGAAACATCTCTTACTTACAGGGATTTGCAGTAAATGCACATATCTATGGTCAAGACGTTCATAAGAAGAAAAGACACATCTTTTGGTGACACTTTCAAGAAAGGACACATAATTATGCATTAGACTATCATAGAAGTCTTTACCCTCTTGACTATCACGAGAAGAACATGACTTCACCCTATTGAGTACCCTCTTCGCAACGCCATGAAGAAAAGGAATATCCTCAACCATTAGATTACACTTCAAAGAAGAGATACATCTAGGCAGCACTTTGAAGAGGAGAGTCAATTTGGGAGCAGACACTGAAACCTACAGCAGGCAGCTCCTCATCCATATCTTCGCCATAAATCCTGCAAATCTGTGACGTCACACTGGACAACAAGGCACCAATGGTGGAACTGTCAGGAGTGGTTCCAATGAATCTGAAGAGTTGGAACATACACATCAGTGACAATCATTATTAAAAAGACTGGGAATTCTTTTGCAACAACTATTTATATATATACTCATGCCAATAATGGTTGTCACCCCTTCAATTGTTTTAATTGGGTATGAGGGGGTTGGGGGGTGGGGGGGGGTTGGGGCTGGGTGTGACAACCATTATTGGCATGAGTATATTTGACCATGTGCAAATTTAATGATTGGAAACACTAAAAATCAGTGAAGACACTTATTGCTTAGGGCAGTTGCAGCAGGTTGTATCAAAAAGGTATGTTACTGAAAAGCGCTTTACACGTTTTGTTGCCAGCTTCATTATCAAGATCTAAGAACACACTCCATAATGTATGCAATGATATTTATTACAGTATTAACAGCAAGAACAACGGTTTGGTGATTTACTTAACGAGTACACGACGTACTTCATAGCGTACCTCTGTCACTCAGAAGCATCAAACACAGAGTAACCAGGTCTATCTTATGACCACAAATTCTCACACCTGTATAACGGCAGCTTTAGACCACACCCGTGTATTTTGAAATCCTGTTAAGGAGACTTTGATTTCAACAGTTTCACCTGTACATCTAAATACTTCCTATGAACATTATGAATCAATTAGAGAAAACTTAAAATTATCCCCCAATCGCATTTGTTTACTCTTTGTCTTCTAAATGTAACAATGCAGTCGCCGTTTAAGACAAGACCAAATGCAAATATTTTGTGGTTTGTAAATGAAAGACAATATTGGTAAATTAGAGATATTACGTATGGAATACAAAGTAGTGATCCTTTTTCAAAATGTTCATACCGTATAACCACCCCAGCCTTGATGTTTAAGCTCTTTAGTGCTAATGTGGCTGCCATGGCAACGATGGATGTCTTCCCACAACCTGATGGCCCATGCACAATGAAAGGAGTTCTGGACTTTCCTTGGAGGTACTTCGATATGAGCTAAAGTCAAAGACAGAGCTAGTGCTTAAATAGGCACGCATTGAGTCGAATGGAAAGATATTACGTGAATCTGACAATCTTGTTATCATTGAATGTTTTCTAAAATCGAAATGTTAAAATCGAAAAGAGACACAAACATACGTCTAGCGTCTCTTGTCGTCCGTGAAAAGCTTTGCATTTAGACTGACAGAAGACTGTATGTTCCACAATCTCTGCGTACAAAGGGTTGGCCAGGTCGGTTCTCTTCCTGTCCTCAATGGCCTGCATCACCTTCTGTGAAATCTCCTCTGTGAAATCCTGACACAGCTGTTGGATATAGGCCTCGTGTCTTTTACTCTTTGTGGGGTCGACTCCTTTTAACAAAACAGACAAATATATTTGAATGTCTTCCCCAAATAGGTTTCCTGGTTTAAATACAAAATGGTTGAACAAATGACATGTACTCACCATTGTCTGTCCATTCGATGCTATATTTTTTGTGATTCTCAGGTGACAACAAATTGGGAAGTTTTTTTTCTCGTAGATCAGATAAAAGATCCTGAGATTCTTTGAGTTTTTCCTCAGGTCCAGTGCATTCTGTAATAATGACGTATATCATACAAAGTGGTCATCGTTTCATGTTATGTTCCTATAATGAACCTATTGTTAAGAAATATTAACCGTCTCATTGTCTTCAACATTGTAGTTTGATACCTTGTCTATTTAGTCAACTGTGTATTGCAAAGATTCAATATTCTTATCACAATTACCAAAGGGAAAGACGTTTTACACTTATATCTGCTGAGGGTGTAACTTGGTTCCTGTTTGTCTATGGCAAAATGGTTCGGTGAAACCACAAACAGCTAGACGACTTCGGAGGATATTTAACACTTGGAAATACTATATAATTTAATCTCGTATCTTTTGTAGCAAACGATGTATTGAAAATCAACAAAACATTATGACAGGTAACACTTGACAGTTTGCCAACAACATTCTACCCTTGTATCTGCTGAGGATGTAACTTGGTTCCTGTTTGTCAATGGCATCAATGGTTCGGTGAAACCACAAACAGCTGGACGACCTTTCTTCAGACTCCACTACCCCTCGTGTGATTTCAGCCTCGGTCACTGTAAACGGTACAAGGCCAATTACCGAGGGCATAACAGTTGTTAACAATAAAAGAACGAGAATGAAACAATCATTATTAGGAAACATAAAGATTACAAATCAGAGTTGCATACCGGACATGACGTAACGGTGAGCTGTCTTTGTATCAAGTTTCTCATTGGCTGCTTTCTCAAGGGCTTTCTGCATGATTGTATTCTGATCGTACCAAGCTGCCTTCGCGGACTTCTGCTTTTCTTCATTCTCATCTCGGAAGTCTGGTAGAATGGAGCTGACTGGTTGAAGAATATAGGTCGGGGGCACTGCGTTGTCATCTCTCTTGAACCAGCTGATGTTAAACAGAGATTGGAGTTTTTCGTGTATACCGCTAATTCCTCAACAATATTCTGAAATCACATAGGCTGTTGAAAAATATATATCAATGACAACCATTCACCTTAATATAATATCTTATAAACTAAATAAAGAAATACATATGTTAACACAAGTTCCTGGCGCCATTTTGAACAGAATTATGATAGTATCTGTACACGATCTATCAGTATGTGAATATGTCCAACCAGTGGTTGTATACCTCTACGTTATTTATAGTCTCGTGGAGACACCTCCATCGTCTTCTGAAGAGATCGCCTGTATGGATAGTGGACTATCACTGGTTCAGTGCCTGTCTACAGCACGTTAAAAATGGTACTTACTGTTAAAAGATCGTATTTCTGGTTAAAGGGATAAAATAAGACCTGGTCGGCTGAGAGTCCTTACATATACTATGAGTATACTGTGAGAATACTGAATGTACTCTGAGTATACTGTGAGAATACTGTGAGTATACTGTGATAATACTGTGAGTACTGTGAGTATACTGTGAGAATACTGTGAGTATACTGTGAGAATACTGTGAGTATACTGTGAGTATAGTATTCGTGTCAAACTGCGCATTGTGTTTATGTGGGATACCAATATAAAATGGCATTAGTCAAACAGTACGAGGAGCCACGCACACTCGCACTCATACGCTCACCACCGCGAGGTCGTCATTATATAGGTGAAATAACCTTGATCGTTGCATTTCTGTCAAAATCCAAAACATGCCATTCAATTCTCTTTAAGCTCACACCTAAGTTTCTGTCAAAGCCTGTATACAAATAATTGGCGTGTACATACGTTTTAAGGAGCACCAATGCCTCTTCCTCCTTCACAGCCGCAATCAGTGTGTCAAATTCAGTGGCCTCAATTTTATTAGGGAAGTCACGATAACCATATTTGTGACTTAAAAATGTCTGAAAAGGAAAGTTGATGAACAACGTAAATCAAATAATGAGAAAGTTTGAATCAACAGTGGAAGACCGTCATTTTATCATTTCACTGACTAAACACCCCAGGTTCACAATGGAGATGAAATGATCCCTATAATATTTGCTGTTAAAACTGTGTAGGTGCCATCTACGTATAAATACACAGGAACGTAGCTGGTGATTAGTTAAACGTATAAAAATCATAACTGCACACCATCAATTACCCGATCAGAAGTTCATCACTTACAACAAAACTCGGTCCAGTAGACAACTTCTTGCAGAGATCAATTTCCCTCAGACAGAGTTCTGTCCCCATGTGGTCGTCCGTGGCCTCATCTCTGATGCCCCATCTCATGTCCACGACCTGGAACTCGTACCCCTGCTGCTGACACACCTCCTTCAGGGCGGGTACGCCCTCTCCATCAGGGCGTTCCTCTCGTGCCATGTGTCTGAGATATACAGCGGCATTAATGAGAGCACAACGTACAGAGATGTTGAGTGGCATCAATTAGAACAGACTTTATTCATACATGTTCAAAGTGCTGTGTAGTAGCGGTAAGACGTTTGCATTGTCATCATCGGAAATTACAATACTACATGTCACTCCTCTGCTTCAGCTGAAGGTTGTCTGTAACGAATGGATAGGATACTGACCTTCCTTCTGCAATGCGAACGTTCAGCTCATGCACTAATGCCCAGAATATACTGGATACAATGATCTGGATTAATGGATTCATGAAACCGCCTACTAGTTATCAGAAATGATAATGGCAAATGATAGGTAATGCAAATGAATATGGCCAGCTGATTCCTTAACGACGGGCCATCAAATGACGCCACAGCATAACGACGTCATGACGTTCCATGACCTAACACTGTTGGGTCAACAGCCCATTGAGAGTTGTTTGAAGTAAACTTTCAATTTAATTGATGATACTGTTTTGTCTTTTTTAGCACAAATTCCACCCATTTTAGCTAGAATAGGGGTAACTCTGTTTCACAGGGCATTATCATTTGCAGAAGCCCACGGAGATTTAGGGTTTCTGCAAATGATAATACCCGGCAAAATAGCGTTACTCCTATAAAACATACTGAATACAACGATCTGAATTAATGCTAAGAATATAAAGGATACAACTCGACCATAATGCAGGTGCAGTTCAAACTAAGCACATCAAAGAAGTTAAAATGAAACATTGTTATCGAAGAACGAAGTTAAAAATTACTAATGTATTGTAAAATAAGTAAGTGAAATATATTTGTGTAAGAAATGTCATACCGTATGGCTGTATTGTAGACCATATTTGATATTTGCTGCAGAAGCAAGGTAACACGACACACATTCAGAAAATAATTATTTTAGACAATTGTCCAGATACGTGTCCGTCGTCCTTGACATTTTCAGCTGAATGGTACCTGTGAATGTGCTGCTTGTGAAGATCCGGACAATTTTGGCTGTAGACGGACATTCCACTGTCACATTACCACGGATGACCTCATCTGTATCTGATTTCTTCCCGTGATGCTTTGGGTGATCTCTGTGTCGATGACTCGTTCCAGGTCTCTCTGAATGTCGGCCATCTTGACGCCGTGACGTCAACTCAGATTTCTTTTTACTAATGGTAGGTCTAGCTTTGACCACAGACTCTGTCGTGGATTCAGTCTTCTCAGAGACAAAATCCAGATTGGCTCCTTCTTCTTTCCTAGGGGCTTCATTTGGATACTGTGTAACCCTGTAAATAAAACGTGATGTCGTTGAAAAGATATATATGACAGATCTCAAGCATATTCCCTGCGTGGCTCTATCGTGAATGACTGAGTTGGTTTTAACCTCACAACATTTCAGTTATATCATGGTATACATGGTACTAGTTGAATCAGCTTGTTTATACCCACGATGCCAAAAGAATTCACAACGAAGTATGGTGTCTTGGAACTCTAGGTCGAAGGGGTGGTAGTACATGATCCACATGACCGGAATTAAGTTAATTCTTTACAAAGTGTCGAACAAATATAAACTCCCATATATGCAAATCCTTGGCGATGTGTTACACAAATATAAATCCCCATATATATATGTTAATCCTTGGCGATGTGTCACACAAATATAAACTCCCATATATGCAAATCCTTGCCGATGTGTCAGACAAATATAAATCCCCATATATGTTAATCCTTGGCGATGTGTTAATCCTTGGCGATGTGTCACACAAATAAAAATCCCCATATATGTTAATCCTTGGGAATGTGTCACACAAATATAAATCCCCATATATATATGTTAATCCTTGGCGATGTGTCACACAAATATACATCCACATATATGTTAATCCTTGGCGATGTGTCACACAAGTATAATTCCTCTTATATGTTAATCCTTGGCAACGTGTCGACCAAGTATAAATTACTATACATGTTTATCCTTAGCGAAGTGTCAAACAAATATAAACTTCTACATCTGTTTATCCTAGTGGATAAAGATATACAAACTTCCATATCTGTGTATCCTCGTGGACGTGTTTACCTTTCAGTGGATCTTCTACAAGCTTACCTCGTAGGCTCAGTTGCCCGGAGGGATGCCAGCTCACTATGACCGCAACCCATTGGTGACACTCTACCCTATTCTACCCGGGAAACTGAATTACCAACATATCGCAGACACCTTACTGCTACATGTATATGCTCCCCGGATCGTCAGTGTACATTCCACTCACAATAGAGAACCAACCACACCATGGTATGGGTATTAACTGTACAGTTAGGCTGACGGTGGGATGAATGACATGATCTTGGTGTGTACACAGAGGTCGATAAATCTGAATGAACGCCATACGTGGTATCCCGCTTGTTTATCCGCCGCTATGACAACCATGAGACCTCTTCCCTATATTCTGTTCTCATATTCAAACACAGACAATACTTAGATCTATGCAAGCATACTGTCTTACCTTGTACTGTGAGTGTAACTGTTTGGGAGGTTAGATCCAACGAGCGTCTGTCGTGGTTTGTTTCGATATAACGCGGTATACATTATGTAAACTATACCGCTATGTCTTCACGGTGTGTCTCCATCAACCCGACCATCCAGCTCTGAGTATAGATGACCTATAGCCGAGTTGGTTCCGCGCTCACAAAGCAACGCGTCATATTCACGTACTCAATCTATTCACCAGGTACTGTATTAGCGACCATTAACTGAAAGCTGTTTACATCTCCAAGACGTACCGCGTACGGTTACCAATAACCCTGGGAGAAGAATGACAGTAACTCGAAACTGGCAATCGGTACATATATGTGTTAAGATGACATGCAAACAAACCCCAATACGCACGTGGATCATAAAGTTGAGCTTGTGCTGGGTGTTCCTTCTCTGCTATAGCTGGCGCACAGTGTTGCTTACAGCTCACGATTTATGTTGAGTTACGAGATGTCTTTGTTAGGTTACAGTAATGTAGCAAGATCACTTCAGTTTATGTTGTTGTCAGTTCAAGGGTTCGTGTTTCTAACAATTCAGTTCCCAATTGCGCAGATCGATGCCATATAGCTGGAATATTACTGAGTGCGGCGTAAAACTAAACTCACTCACTCACTCGTCACGATATGGCTGGGATATTGCCGATGTGACGTTAAATCTTAACTCACTCACTCACTCATTACTACTACTACAACTACTACTACTACTACTACTACTACTACTACTACTACTGCTACTGAAATTATTTATTATACCACTGCGCCTTATCATCAGGACCCATGAAGATCTTCGGCAACAAATACTTGCATACATGCATACATACATACATACATACATACATACATACATACATACATACATACATACATACATACATACATACATACATACATACATACATACATACATACATACATACATACATACATACATACATACATACATACATACATACATACATACATACATACATACATACATACATACATACATACATACATACATACATACATACATATTCCAGCAATATCACGTGGGGGGCACCAGTAATGGGCTTCACACGTATACCCATGCGGGAATCGAACCCAGTTCTTCTGCGTGACGAGCGAACACTTTAACCACTAGGCCACCCCACGCCCTTAAAACAATCAGGAATTGTTTGCGGGAGGTGCGACTTAGACCTGGAAGACAGTATCTGTCCATGTATTGATACGTATGCCGTGTGTATCACTGTATAATCACTAACTCAGGTAAGAAGCAATAATCACTAACTCAGGTAAGAAGCAATAATCACTAACTCAGGTAAGAAGCAATAATCACTAACTCAGGTAAGAAGCAATAATCACTAACTCAGGTAAGAAGCAATAATCACTAACTCAGGTAAGAAGCAATAATCACTAACTCAGGAAAGAAGCAATAATCACTTACTCAGGTAAGAAGCAATAATCACTAACTCAGGTAAGAAGCAATAATCACTAACTCAGGTAAGAAGCAATAATCACTAACTCAGGTAAGAAGCATCTTGTTCCGTATTGAATCGTTCATCGAGATGAAGGACGGCGTGTCTATGGACGTTGAGATGAACTTTCTGGACCAAACTCCGTTCGACAGGTCGACAGATTTGGTGACGGCGTTGTGAGGGGAGCCATATTCTAAACACGGATATGTGACTTGGTGGTTCTGGGGTATCTGACAGCAAATAGGGACATCAACCAAATTCTCAACGTCACCATTTCCCAATTATCAACCGACAGAGGCAGTCATGGCAACGCTACACTCCACACAGATCGTGTCACCGTTGACGTCCTTCATAACTGAAATGTCAATATCTTGCCGTCTAAACGTCTAACTGGTGGACCCCTTCATTCTCCCATATGCTTGAAACGGTATAAGAATCTATACCGAAACGTCGCCATTGTCAAAATAAAGAAGTTGATCATCCATAAAGGCTTGTCATCCCAATACCACCAACTTCTAGAATGCCACTCAAACAAATCGTCTAAACGTCATCTCTTGGATGAACTTTGTCAAGCTTGAAAATCACGGTTTCAATCTTTGCTTCGCACTCTGAAAGATATTGTTTTTAAACTACATTACTGTCCATAAATTTATGATTTATGTGGTACGCGGGTGACCCTGGTGTAAGAAGCGTCCCAGTGCGCCGAACAGAGTTTCGTCCCTTTAGTAGTGCTACTATTTTTCTATACCACTCTGAATTGGTGAGCTGGACTGATGGTATGATCCTCGTCAATTACTAGAAAGTGAAGTGCGTTCCTCTGTCAACTTATCATAAATTGATCAATTGATATGTAATATGTACGTTCTACTAAATTACCAAATATAGTGATTTGGGCATTTCAAGGAGTTTCCAAACAATAGCATCATGCATGCATCTCCGTAGAGCTGAAATCCCACAGCATTGTTTGTTCGGAATCACCACAATGACCGTTGGAACATTGTGTCAACAATCCTCCAGCTCTTTGACCACGGTCTGGTGATAATCGAGTCCACCAGCAGCGCAACGATGACCAAGTCAGCGAGCCTGACCACCCGATTCCCTTAGTTACAAGCATGAATTCCTGATGATCAACCAGGATCTTCACGGGTAAGACATTATGAGTGAGTGAGTTTAGTTTTACGCCGCTTTCAGCAATATTCCAGCAATATCACAGCTGGGGACACCAGTAATGGGCTTCAAGCACTGTACCCATGTGGGAAAAGAACCCGTGCCTTCGGCGTGACGAGCGAAAGCTTTAACCACTAGGCTACCCCACCGCCCGTACGACATTATGAAGCATTCTTGGTTAGTGCATTCACTTGGACCGTTAACGACCAGGACAATCAACGTTGTCCTGTAACGGTGTTTTAATGATATTTTATTATATATAATTCACTTAGTGACTGCATACCCGCTGCTTTGTATTTTCACCTGCCACTACCACAAATCGGAATCAGTTTGAACATGCAGTCAATTATTGGGTGATTATACTAACCTTTAGGAACACATTTGCTGTTTCGTAGCCCTCAGTTAAATGAACTATAACTGCCAAGCACCTTTACGCAGCAGAAATAGTTACCAGTTTAATGACCTACCATGCCATTTAGACGGAATACCATGTGTAATGGCCTCTCTCCAGTCACACTTTCCAACTATTCTAATATGGTAAGAGTTTGTAAGTGAGTATGTAAATGCTTTCAGCAATATTAAAGCAACATCACGGCGGGGGACACCAGAAATGGGCTTTGCACATTGTACCCATGTGGGGAATCGAACCCGGGCCTTCGGCGTGACGAGCGAACGTTTTAACTACTAGGCTGCCCCACCGACCCAGACTCAAAGAGTACGTATGGGTATCTCTTGACTTATTCAAATCTTCATTGAAGACCCATCTTTTCCGGAAATATTACGAATGACTTGTACAATTGCTGCAGTTTTTAGCTGTACACGTGGGGCGCCATGAGCATACACTAGTGTGTGGTAAACGGCGCCATACATATGGACATTATTATTATGTTTATGTATCTGTAGGCCTTTTCTGTTAATGGGTTATGGATTTGCTTGTCCATGCATGAACCGGTTTGTGATATAATCTGGGGTGTCCAAACTCGTCGGTAACAAATAAATCCCTCTTTATTGCGAATAGCAATTTTTTAAACGTTCTTGATTATTACGGTCAGCGGATCTGTGAACCAAGAAACATTAAAAAAAACTCCATTTTGGTCTTTGGAAATGACAAAGTTGAATTTACAGGAACATTATAAATTTAGTCAGTAAAGCCAGTGAACGTGTTCATATGATTGGCTTGCTAATGGAGATAATCTGTTTTGTTACTCTCTACCATTCCTTAAATGTAACCTTACCTTGAAAAGAATAAAGTTTTAATTCTCATTCAAATCGATACATTTGAGAACCATTTCCCTTCGACTTCCGCCTCCTACTCTGTGGCTAACAGCACAACTCTTAACATCTCCATCAGTGTTCCAGGATGCATTTGAAATTCCGATGTATTTCTTTCAGGAAATAAAACATTACGACAGTTCTCAAAAGGAAATGATTGAGAGGGTCATCTGTTCGCGTCTTTGATGTTGTTAAGCCAGGTTTTATTCAGGAAGTAGCTGATTGGAATGAGCTGATTCTCAGAGGGAAGCGCATTGGAAACATTGCAGAAGATGCACTGCCAATAAAACAACCAATCTCATTGACGTGTAAAAATAGAAATCTTTGACAGAGCCATCTGAAGCATTTAGGGAATCAAGGCCTCTTGCGACTTCGGAGTTATTAACACGTGATCACACCATAGAAGACTTGCTCCTTATTTCATGATGATATTAACATGGCTCTGTTTGATACAGAATTGACAATGTTCTGGTATGCTGTTGCACACGTTAACATCATCTCTCCATTCACTGTTGTGCTATTTGTTTTGAACCACTGTTCAAAGGGAGTTAACTCTGTCTGTTCTGTTACGAGAACAGTAAAATCCTCAGTTGAAGATGATGTCACTTCACTATTATGTTACGTCAATATTGATTATTTGACCCCATTTTCTCTTTCTAAACTATATTTGTTTGAGAGAAACACACATACAGAGATACATAGATACAGAGAGAGAGAGACATACATACATAC